CAAGAAACTAGAAACACCAATCAGAAAGGATATATGCACCCCTATGTTCATAGCAGCACAATTTACAGTAGCTAAGATTTGGAAACAGCCTAAGTGCCCATCAGCAGATGAGTGGATTAAAAAGCTGTGGTACATCTACACAATGGAATACTACGCTGAGGTAAAAAATAAAGAACTCTTACCATTTGCAACAGCATTATGCTAAGCAAAATAAACCAGTCAGATAAAGATAAGTATCAAATAATCTCACTCATTTGTGGAATATAATGAACAACATAAATAGATCCAGAGACACAGAATCATCCAATAGACCATCAAATCTCAGAGGGATGGTGGAGGAAGGGGTGGAGAGGGGAATAAGAGATTAATCAAAGAACTTGTATGCATATACGCATAGCCAATAGATACAGACAATAGTAAGGGGGTGGTGAAGGCCAGGGCTGGGGGTCAGGGGCAGGCAGGCTGGGAGAGGACAATGGGGGAAAAGGTGACATATGTAATACTTTCAACGATAAAGAATTAAAAAAACAAAACAGTATTATAAGAAATGTTTGAGACTTATTTAAAAAGAAGAAAAAAGATCAAAAGTATGAAGAATAAAATGGCAATAACTACATTTATCAACTAGGGGCCCAGTGCATGAATTTGTGCACTTTGAAAGGAACTGTGGGCCGTGAGGCTGTGGTGGGCACAGGGGTGGGTATCAGCCCATCCTCTGTTCCCCCACCTGGCCCCTCCCGCTGCAGCCCCTGGTCCCGTCTGCCAGCAGCCCTGCTCTCGCTGCTGCCATTCCCACGCGCTGATGGCGCTGCCCCACTTGCACCCACTGATAGCACGGAGCAATTGGGGCCAGCACCAGCAGCAGGTGCGAGCAGTGCTGCTGCCCCAATCGCCCCCCCAGGAGCAGGGGGAGGTGGAGAAGCTGATGGTGCTGACCAATCGGGCCAGTGCCGGCAGCAGGTGTGAGTACCGGGTGGGATTGTGGTGCGCAGGAGCAAAGACTTTTCAGTAACCATCAGAGGCTCGCCCCAAAGACAGCTACCGGTGCCTGCCTTGGTCTGGTGCACCTGCTCCACCACCCCACCGCAGCCGATGCCCGCCATGTTCCACACTCTGCTGCCTGCTGCCAATGCCTGCCATGTTCCGAGTGCGCCCACTGGTGGTCAGCGCACGTCATAGTGACTTTTTTCGGTTGTTCCACCATTAAGTCTATTTGCATATTAGGGTTTTATATATACAGATAATTACTTTAATTGTAAATGGATTAAATGCTCCAATTAAAAGACATAGTGTGGCTGGATGGATAAGAAAACAAGTCCCTTACATATGCTGTCTACAAGAGACTCACTTCAGATCAAAAGACAGACTGAAAGTAAAGGGATGGAAAAAGATATTTCATGAAAATGGAAATTGAAAAAAAAAAAAGTTGGAGTAGCAATACTTATACCAGACAAAACAGACTTGGATACAAAGACTATAACAAGGGACAAAGAAGGACCCAGCAGCTCCGCTTCTGGGTATTTATCGGAGGAAACCCAAAACACCAAATCGAAAAGATCTGCATCCATATGTTCATTGCAGCATTGTTTAAAATAGCCAAGATATGGATGCAACCTAAGTATCCATCCATAGGTGAATAGATAAAGAAGTGGGACATACATACAATGGAACATGACTCAGCCATAAGAAAAGAATGAAATCTTATAATCTGCAAAAAACATGGATGGACCTAGAGAGTATTTTGCCCAGTGAAATAAGCCAGACAGAGAAAGGTCAATATGATTTCACTTATGTGTAGAAACTATAAACCTAAATAGATACACAAACAAAACAGAAACAAACTTATAGAGAACATTTTGATGGTTGCCACATGGAAGGGAGTTTGAGAGTATGGGTGAAAAAAGTGGAGGAGTTGAGAAGTACAGATTTGTTATAGAGTAGTCATAGGGATGTAAAGTTTTGCATAGGGAATTTAGTCAATAATGTTGTAGCCCGGGACAGTGTGGTTGGTTGGAGCATTGTCCTATGTACCAAAGGGTCACGGGTTTGATTTCTGGTCAGAACACATACCCAGGTGGCGGATTTGATACCTGGTTGGGGTGAGTACAGAAGGTAACCGATCAATGTTTCTCTCTCTCATTGATGTTTCTCTCTCTCTCTTCCTCTCCCTCTCCCTTCCTCTCCCTCTCAAATCAATTCATTAAAACAAACAAGCATATCCCTGGGTGAGGATTAAAAATAATAAGAATATTGTGATAACTATGCATGGTGTCAGATGGGAACTAGATTTATTGGGGTGATCACTTTGTAAGTTATATAAATGTCTAATCACTATGTTGTACAGCTGAAACTAATATAATATTGTATGACAGCTGTAACTGAAGATTATCTTTTTAAAATGACAATGCAAGAGATACATTTCATCAGTATAGTTCAGTAAATACTCATTGGTTACCTATTCAGTGTGATTGCACTTATAGTCATTAAAAATTCATTCCTGAGAGTATTTCCATCAGCATCCTTGTTTCTCCAGATTGGAGTCCTCTTTAGCAGTTCAATTTTTAATAAGCTTTAATTTATAATATAAAAATTGTTTTACAGACTTTTAGGTACTTGTTGGTACAGAATTTATAATCATCAATCATTGTTTTAATAAAATACCAGTAGGAATAATTTCATAGTCTGATTTGTTTAGCTACTCTCAAGTTATTTCTGTCAGAGACTAGGACTTTAGTAAAGGGAAACTTTAAGTAAAAACTACTTTCATTTAATGCCATAAATTATAAATAAGTGATACAGAGCTGCAGTCTAACCATTGGAAACATGATATGGTTAGGATGACTGGAGGAATGATTATGAGGTATGTTTTATTTGGTAATTATTTATTGCTAATTGTTCATTCAGAATGTCTTAGTCTTGTTACTTGCTTTTGAAACTTTAATTCGTAGCTTGTTTTTCCTTTTTTTAAAATGTGTTCACCCATCTTTGTTTTTAATCTACAAAGCTCATTTTAACATAATCGTTATTTTTAAAGATGTTTTTACAACAGTCAACCCCTGGTTTGAATTTTGGTTCTGTTCAACTTTCTTCTGGAAATTCATCTAACATCCAGCAACTCGCACCTGTAAATATGCAAAGCCAGGTTGTTCAAACTAACCAAATTCAAAGTGGAATGAATACCGGACACGTTGGCACAACTCAGCACATGATACAACAGCAGACTTTACAAAGTTCATCAAGTCAGGTAATGTTATCTACTAATACAGGCTATGGAGTGTTCAACAATTAAAATGTGTATTATTGCTGCAACTAAAAAAAAAGCTCTATCTTGAACAATACTATATTTAAAATTTAATAATTAAAAAATATAATATTGAGAAGTCATTATTAAAATATTTTGTTCAAAAGTGTTAGTTGTGAAACTGTTGGTTGGTAAATACTTTCACTATTTTGACATTTAAAAATTTGTAGGTTAAAAGGTTTGACTTGCAAAGGAGACTGACCAGGAAACACGTTACCATACATGAAGAATAAATTGTTGGGGCAGTAATGCTTTAATCAGTATTCCAGGAAATTTTGGTAATTGATGTACATCTGTGACTGTAAATCCCAGGGCTACAAATAAAATATAGAAAAATGTCTAATGTTGATCACTCATTTGGGGCATTTAATAGAAAGTCCTTATGTTTACTTTATATTATCCCTGTTAAGATCATGCTCCTTTTCTAAGATCATAGCTTACCTTCCAGCAAGATATTGAAGACAAATCCGTTCTCAGTTACTATAAGTCATTACTTTGTGGTCAGATTTCTCTCAGAGTAATATGTCTTGCCACTTTTTTCTGTAATGTCAACCATTACTAGGATGATCTAGAAGCATACTTCCTGATGTAAATTTTTTCAGTTAATCTGTCATTATAATCTCTTCTTTTCCAACAGAGTCAACAAAATGTCCTAAGTGGGCATAGCCAACAAACATCTCTTCCTAGTCAGACCCAGAGCACTCTTACAGCCCCCCTGTATAACACTATGGTGATTTCTCAGCCGGCAGCCGGAAGCATGGTCCAGATCCCGTCTAGTATGCCACAAAACAGTACCCAGAGTGCTGCAGTAACTACATTCACTCAGGACAGACAGATAAGGTAGTTATCGGAGTTCATTAGTCATCTGTAAGTTGTAACTTAATTGATTAAAAGTAAGTTTATTTTTAAAAACATGATTTTAGTTTGTTACTCCAGATAGTATTCTTATTTTTAAAAAGTTGATTCCAGAGAGAGGAAGGGGGAAGGAGGAGAGAGAAGAAAAAAAAGAGGAACATTGATTGGCTGCCTTCCTCACATGCCCCCACTGGGCATTGAACCACAACATGAGTATGTTCCCTGACTGGAAATTGAACCCACCACCTTTTGGTGTACAGGATGGCGCTCCAATCAAACAAGCCACACTGGCCAGGGCCAGCCCATATTCTTGAATTTGAAATAAAAATGCATAATGTATTCATTGTTTAAGGACTTTGTAATAAAAAGGTAGCAACAGATTTTGTTTCCCGTCCAGAAATGTGCTACCAAATATTGTAGAAGCCAAATTCTGCAGCACACTTTTATATGACTTTTATTACAGGCTTTGTGTCACTGAAATTTTTATTATTTTAATACAGATACTGGTGTTTTCATGTAGTAACAATGGTTAGGGTGTACACTACCATAGTTTGTTTTGAAATAAAAGTAGCTTGCCTTTCTTGAGTTTGTTTAGTACTATACTAAGCGCTCAAAACATTATTTCATTTAATTCTTATTTTTTAAAAATGTGTTAGGGTCTTTTAATTTGTAGGTAAGAAAAAAGTGAGTTTATAATACTTTGGTCAAGAGCCTGTAGCTAGTTAAGGGGGTGAAGAAGGCTTTCTGAATTCAAGCCTCAATGTTTGATTTCAAACCTCAAGTGCTTAAACATATTCTATACAAAACGTTTATGGGCAATTCAAGAAAGTAATCTATGATATCTTTTAGTGGGAATAGCTGACTTAGAAACAAAGTTTTTGAAGAAATGCCATTTTCTTATATTTGGAAGCTTTTAATTTTAGAATCTATATAGTCTTAAAACTTTTTTTTAAAGATGTTTTTATTGATTTCAGAGAGAGCAAGGGTGAGGGAGAGATAGAAACATCAATGATGAGAGAGAATCATTGGTCGGCTGTCACCTGAATGCCCCCAATGGGGGTCAAGCCTGAAACCCTGGCATGTGCCCTGCCGGGGAATCAACTGTGACCTCCTGGTTCATAGGTCAAAGCTCAGCCACTAAGCACACCGGCCAGGCTATATACACATTTTGTTTTACTGGTATCTCAAAATGGATCTTTAAAAACACGAAACAAAATTGAAACATACAGCTTTAAAAAACTAAATTGGCAATATCATTGGGTATTATCTTAGAGAAGTATTCAGCCACTGCCTTTTGTAATGCATATTTTTTTTGTATTTCTGATTCCCCTTTTCTTCCTCTTACAGATTTTCTCAAGGTCAGCAACTTGTGACCAAATTAGTAACTGCTCCTGTAGCTTGTGGGGCGGTCATGGTACCTAGCACTATGCTTATGGGTCAGGTGGTGACTGCCTACCCTACTTTTGCTGCACAACAGCAGCAGTCACAGACGTTGTCAGTCACACAGCAGCAGCAGCAGCAGCAGCAGAGTTCCCAGGAGCAGCAGCTCACATCAGTTCAGCAACCATCTCAGGCTCAGCTGAACCAACCAACACAGCAATTTTTACAGGTAATTCTCCCAAACCTATTTACTTTTATATAATGAAATTAGGCATTAAGTGAACACTTTTGTAAGTGATCTGAAAAATGCATAGAAGCTAATTGTACAAGTTAAATTTCTGTAAGACAAAGTTTATCTGGTTGGCTATATGTATTTCCCTGTTCAGTCCTTCAAAGACTTAGCCCTGCCATGGACATACCCAATTATTTAAACTGCTGGATAGAATAAGGGGCTACTACCTGCCCATATCAAGACACTTTATATAGAGCCCTCTCTGGCTAGAGTTTCTGGAATTCAAGGGAAGGCACCTTTCTTTCATCTCTTATCTTTAGCAGCCCATCAAACTACTCTCTACTGGGCAGGGGTATCAAGTCATATTTTTTAAAAATTAGGCATTATCTTAAATTATTTTTTAAGATTAAATTTTATAATGATTTTTTTGTTATACGTTAGTATTAGAAATATTGTGGAAACAGTATATGTCATAGTTAAGAACTTGGGCTCTTAAGTCCTGCTGCCTTGGAATTCAGTCACTTCTGCACCACGTACTGCGTGACCTTTGGCAGGTTATTTAACTTGCTAAACTTCAGTTTCCTCATCTGTAATATGGAGGTGCTATGGATGGTGCATGTAAATCACTGAACATAGCATAAGGCATATTAGCTGTTGTATATGACCACCAATGATAAACACACTGACCAGAATGCAGACACACATCTCATAGGGTGTATTAGACAGGATCTCCTTCTCTAAAGGATACAGTATCCTCAGCAAGGAAATCAGGAAAAGTTTCTAGCACTCTCACTGGGGGTGCACAGCAGGCAAGTCCAGCCTTTTCTCTTCTGGCTGAGGGGGAGCCATTTTGAATATAGGGTAGTCTAGGATTGTGCTAGAGACCAATCCATGTAGGCCAGGCACAAATCAATTTTAGAGTTATACAACATATGGTATAATTAGAAGATTTAATATTATATTGTATACTCAGGCATAAATACAGTGTTAATTTATCACCCTAGGAGTTCAATTATAATTCCTAACCTTGTGATGTGGAAAACTAAACAGATAGTTACCTAAGTCTCTCTCAAGTCATATACCTATACTGCAGCTATTAATGATTGCCTCACTTACTGTTGTAAATGAATTATTAATCAGAATTTATAGCAAGTTATAAAGTATTATTATGGGGATAGATAACCAATGAGAATTAAGTAAAAGCTTAAAAAAGGAGAGGACTTGTCTTAAGACCTCAGTCTTCTAAGTCTATCAGAACGAGGGCCCTTAAAAGAATGAACATTCTCTTACCCCCCACTTCTGGAAAAAGCATTCCAAAGACATGGGATACCTAAAAAAGTAAGATCAGCAATACTCTTCAGAGATACACTCATATGTAGATAGTAAAGGACTATACAATTTGTCTAATACCTAGTTCTAAAATGTACCTTTGTTGTAATCCTGTAGGACTCATGCATGTCCTGGGTTCTTTATCTTACAAAAGCTTTTGCTAATGTGCCCTGGCCAGGTAGCTCAATTGGTTAGAGCATCGTCCCAATACGCCAAGGTTGTGGGTTCAATTCCCAGTCAGAGCACATAAAGAATCAACCAATGAATGCATAAATAAGTAAACAACAGTTGATATTCTTTTCTCTCTTTAAAAAGAAAAGTTTTTCTTAATGACAAAGACAGAAAGCAAATTGTCCAGATCCTTGGCAAAGCTTAATGGTTCTTAAGGTTCAGGATCTATCCGTGTGCTTGCAAGTGTCCTTCATTTGTAGTGGTAACTGCCTTTTCATTGTCCCAATGAAAAGTGGAAAACTTAAGTAAATCTTAATGTACACAAAATAGTGGGAGTAAAGCAATGTTGCATAATCCATTTGTTTTTAGACTTCTAGGTTGCTTCATGGGAACCCTTCAACTCAGCTTATCCTCTCTGCTGCGTTTCCACTACAACAGAGCACTTTCCCTCAATCACATCACCAGCAACACCAGTCTCAGCAGCAGCAGCAACTGAGTCGGCACAGGACTGACACTTTGACGGATCCTTCCAAGGTTCAACCGCAGTAGCACACGTCTCCTCTCTGACCTCAAGGGAGGAAGGGTTGGCCCATAAAGAGTTGCTCAGATGATCTGAGGATTAGGAGGAAAAGTTCTAGTAGATTCATGAGATGCAGTATTGAGTAATCTAATTCCTCGAATTAGTTAGCAGGGAAAATGCTGCCTAGTGCTGCAGATGTACATTAAATACCCGCCAGCAGGAAATGACCATAGGGCCATAGCCAATTCTGACAGTGTTTTAATTGCTCAGATATTTTTTGATGGAAAAAGAGTATATTGCCAAATGTAGAAGCTCAGCTAAAGAAATATGACCTCCAGTGAATCAGAAAGGCACTAACAATGTTAGTAACTTTTAGTGGTTCAGTGCCTGTTTTCAAGTGTTACAGAGGACACACCACTGCCACATCAGGGGTTTGCTTACAATGATGCCATGAAGACAGTGCAGTCGACCCAGTAGGCCCTCTTCCCAAGCCCCTCTCCCTTCTCAGATAATGATGGAATCGCAATTTCAGAATGTTGTGTGGGTTCAAATTCTCTATGTACAGATGCTGTAAAAATATTATGTATATGTCTGGATAAAAGGAAAGAAAGCAAAACATTTTGTATGCTGCATGAAAGCATTATCTCCTCCTTAAAGGTATGAATACATTTCCTTAGATTCTGATGCCATGTGCAAACTAATACATCCTTTGTTTTCCCTTTTGTTTACAACACGATAGTGTTCTATTCACTTTTCCGGGGCACAAGTCTTTTGTTCATACTTGGCTGTGATGTCACAGTTTGTTCAGTGAGGTATGATGTGCTGCTGGGAATGGATTTTTTTCAGGTTAAATGATTGAAATAACAGGATTTTCAAGTTACTCAGAAGTATCCTTCATTTCATTATTTTCAATAATGTTTGAAAATAGGATTTGCACTGCTTTATTTTAGAAGGTTGGGAGTTTTGATCATATATTTTGATATAGTTCATAGTTGGAAATAGTTGAGTAAATGGTTTGTAACAAGCCTGAAAGAAATTTCATGAATGTTTCAGTTACAGGAGTAAAATTTGCACACAAAACATTTTAGGCACTTTTTAACATTCTCACTGGTGGGAATTTTAACTTTTAGGATTTGTTGGAATCTTTTTATTATCCTTCACAATTTCAATGTTTCTTTTAGTCAGAAATGATTCAGGGTTATTTGAGGGGAAAAAAACCCATAGTGCCTTGATTTTGATTCAGGTGATAACTCACCATCTTGAACTCATTGTCTGGTTTCAGTAGCAGTTTTGAAACCTTAGTACATTTTTAATAGCATGTGAGTGTCTGTGCCATTATTCTCCTAAGTTCCTATGAAGAGTGCTTTGAATCTCTTGGCTGGAGATATAAATAATTTAGAAATAAAAGATGACATACTAACACTATCAGAGTCATCAGTGTGATTGCAAATTGTTTTTCCTAAATCAGCATCTTTCTTTAAAGCTGAAATAAGTAGTCATTGAAGAATTACCAGTAAATATTTGCTCAATATGATTCTTACAAAGAAAGAGGTGTAGGAATTTGCTTTGCCTTCACTACAACACTAGAATATTGGAACTCACATGCTTTCTAAACATGAACTAAGATTTCATTTGGCAATATAATATTCCAAAGGTAATAAATTCCAACAAAAATTATATTCATAAAAACATTTTATATATTATATGGTACTGATAATTAAATTTACAACTGTAGAGCAAAGGAAAATATCTTATTAGAATATCAAAAATTATTACTGTGGAAAGGGAAGACAGCAAGCTGTAATAAATCAAAATTGACCTGAAAAGAAAATGTATAACACAACTGAAGTTGTTCAACAGAAAAGGTTTTGAGCAATGAAAATAACCTAATACAGAATTGCTAGATAAAGGAGTTGAGGAACTCCAAGTCAGTTCTTCAGACTTTTCTGTCCTCGGCTTTGCTATTATCCTTAGGGATATATTGTTTTTCTGTAGAAAACTATACCTGGCCACACTTAAATTAGAAAATGTTGAAAATGAAAACAACCAAAGAAAGTTGGTACCTACCCTTCTATAAAAGAAGTGTCATTAGATACCAATCAATAATTAACATATCAAGGAGCTCCTCTCCTAGCTAAATGATCATCCAGAAGAGATTTCTGACTCATGAATGTCAAGGATAGTTGTCAGAATATGTGTGTACTTGAGCATATATACACCAAAATTGATGTTGTAAATATGGCAACAGTATTAATTATCTCCCCTTTCAAATTGCCTATGTTAACCTTATGCCATTCCATAGTGAGTTGTGCCTCTTTCATTCATTGGTGATATCTAGTGATATGGATTTAGCTAATAAAATATATGAAAAACTATTAAGGTTTATCCTCCAAATATCACACTTAAAAGAAAGATGGTGGACCATGAGTACTGTGTACTTAGATGAACAAAAGCAAAACCTAGGCACAATTTTGCATTTATAATTACTGTTGTTTCTGACAGCTCACTTTTTTCTGCTTAGAATTGATTACTAAGTTTAAAGAAGCAGCTAGCTGCTTTTCCTCTGCTGCCAGTAGGCTTTGTTGTGTTGGAAGAGCTAGTAAGCACCAGCTGCCTCTTAGCTCCTTTAACTGTTCCTCCTGCTTCTCTTGAACTTGGATTGCAAAGCTGTCCCTCCCCCTCTCCCATGAATGGAGACTTGAGCATTCTGATGAAGATTCAGCAGTTGCCTGTTCTTCCTTCATTTCTGTAGCCAAAGTTGTTAATTAAAATACTAAATCTAAGTCATGAAAAACAGAAAATAGGAACACCTTCTAACCACTTAAAAATCATCTTTCCTCTGCTTTACTCTGTCATTTTTTCTTTTAAAAAACACATTTTATTCTGGGTGGCACTTTTTAGATAAGAAACTATTAAAGATCAGGCAAATTGTTAGCTGTTCTGCAGTTATCTTGCTTTGGCTTGCTGTGGCACTGCGTAAGTCAGTATAGTTTTAACAACTACAAGTGAAGACTACAAGGACTAAGAGAATTGCTGCTGGTGTATAGCAACCCTGAGTGTATACACTCAGAAGTACCCTATTTTTTTAGTGGAAAATATGTGCAGAAAAGCAGGTATAGCAGATGGGGGTAGTAAGTCCTACAGTTCAGTCTCCAAACTTCGACTTAGGGGGTAATTTGAGTCCTGTGCTCTGCTTTGTCACTTAAATCTGGCTTAGGAATGTACTAGTAATAGGAGAGTGCCAGTGTCTTTGAATGGTTATAGAATACTGTGTGGAATAGTGAAATGGTAATTTGGTTTCTTCAGAAGTGCTGTAGCTGCTGGTCATTGCCTTACAGCAGTCTGCTTGCCATTAGTTAAGCACACTGAAGCAGTGCAGCTCTGTAAAGAAGAGATGAATCCTTGTTCAAGAAGCCTTAGATAGGGGTCCTACAGATAGGTGAAAGTACTTTTTAACTGGATATTACTCGACGTATTTTAAAATGTTCCCAGTACATTGCGGCAAACTTTTTAAAAAGTGGAATGCAAGTAGCATTTTACTCTGGTAGTATTCATTCTTTCTTTTTCTATGTTTCTTTGATGACTGAAAGTTTGTTGATGAACATTTGTGTTAAACTCATTCAAATCTCTAACCTTTCCAATATCTGTGTCCCTGTTCATAGCCCCTTGGGAGTCAATGTTGGAAGGTGTAAACACTGGATATTACTATTGCTGAGTGAGTCTAGCCAGGAGTAAACCGATTGGAAAAGAAACAGCACAACGGCTCTTGCCATTGTAGTAGTGATTCGACAAAGAGAACCTGTTCAGTTTGTTTGGGTTGGGTGAGCATTCTTCTAAAAGGAGCTTCTGAAGTAATTGCAAAGGAAAAGAGTCGACTATTTTTATAGCATATTTAATATATTTGTATATAACTATGAATATAGTAGGAACCACCCTCCACATGCCTCCCACCTTTTCTAATTTCCTCCCCCTTTGCCATAGCACTAGTATAGCCTCGTCCGCATGGGTAATGTGCCTATTGTCAGCCTACCAAAAGATAGTGCTGCTGCTTTCTGAGACAGGTGAGAAGACCCAACTCTCATGCCTGGGGATCCTTTATGTAGGAATAGCACACACTTAAAACAACATACCACAGTCTAAAAGCATCATTTTTAAATATAACAAGCACTTTATTGCAATTATTCATTTTGATAAAGTTTATCTTAGGCATTACCATTTCTAAAGGATCCCCAAATCATCACTTAGGTGAAATTTTAAAATGACCCATTTCTGAGAAATGTTTAGATCCAGTGAACCGTAGTAGGTTTATGGGAGTGATTTCAAGGTAGCCAAATGAACTTGACTTTTGTTTTGAATGTGGTGGAGTTGAGATTGTTGATGCTAGTTCCATTTAGACACTATTGTAAACCTATCTTGCCTATTGTGTGGACACCAAAAGAGCCTGTTTATTTTCAGAAGTCTAGGAAAATTGCATCAGTGTGAATAAATGTATAGAACTAACCTAAAAGTGATTATTAGTAATATTTTAGAATACAGTCATTTCAAGAATTATTCTGGGTGTTTTCAATGTGCTCTGAAATGTTGGCATGTCATTTCAGCGTTCCCATTTGAATTGCTCTTGTAATATTTTTGCACAAAAAGGACTGAGAAAAGGATTACTTTGGTTGAAGAAAAGAAAAATGTGTAATTTGGTCTTATTTTAATGACTTCTGTGGAAACACTGGGGATGAATTTTGTTGGTTTAGTTATAATTCAGGATATTTAACAGTATTGAACAGCTCACAAGAAATTAAACAAAAGTGGATATTTAAAGATTAAAACACTTTCTTCCCATGTGACTGTTTTGCATATTTCCCCCACATGTCATAATTTAACACTACATTCCTTGTTTTTCTTAAATAAAATACTTTGCAGGTTGTTTTGAGTATTTAACATATTTTGTAAGCTGCCTGGGTTTTCCTAAGGAAACGACCTTTAAGAAATAGAATATAGTTTATGAAGAGATTAAGTGAAATTCCATCACCACCACCAGCAAACACTGAGGTGCTGTGTTAAGTGACAATCAAAATAGTGAGTATTTACGGAAGAATTTAGAAAGTGGTTTTAAAGAAGAAATTGCTTTGTAAGCAGTTCTCTGGGTTTCTTGAATAAAAATGGCTAAATGTATTTATTTATATTTTTAAATATCTTTGTGTTCTGTTTTCTATCAGTGATTTCAGTGTCATGTATTTAATTTGTGGTTTGTTTTGTTTTGCCTTGTACTCTTTTACTAGAGAACTGGCTCTTCTAATGTGGGCACAGTCTCTAGCCCTCAGAGGACTCTACATGGGCATCCAAATCTGTTCTACTGCAGGACAGCAGTGGGAGGGCCCACATCCAGGTGCCTCTGCACTGCCCTCCTGTGCTCAACTTATTTAAGAGAAAAGTAAAGGTAACTCCTTTCAAATTTGCTTCATATAGCTCCAACCTTTTTCTAGTTTTACGTCCTGCCTTTTCCATTTGGGGGACACTTTTTATATGATTATAGCCAAAGGCCAGTATGACAGAACCAATGGCACACATTGCCTGTTTTGCCCACTTGGGAAATGTTAGTAAAACGGTTAGCATCTTCAAATGGCCCCTACTATCATATCTATATGAAAATCCATTTAAAGTCTTCAATATAGATGGGAAAATGTATCCACACTGCAAACTCTTCTACAAAAAAATGTTTGCTGTCTACTAGTATAGTGTAATGTTGCTTGGTTCTTTAAAAACAGTAACAAAACCTCCATGCACAGCACTGCTCAGTAAAGCAGTGTTTGAACATTTGAGGCCTAGACATTTGAGGATACTTCTAGCTGGAATGCATTGGAACAGAATTCTCTAGGTTCCCACAGGTCAGGTACAGGGGACGCTGTCTAGCTTTTGGGATCCCTTAGAGAATGGTCATTAAAGCAAGTTGGATTTAAAGATGTAAAATATGTTCCTTAACTCTGAGAGTTGAATTGAAGATGTGATGTTTTCAAATGTATGCTTTTAAATTTCTGAGGAAACAAACTGTGACATCGCTTTAAGAACAACATTCAAATGTTTCATAATACATGTTTTTGAGTTGGCCTGTACTGGTACAAATTCACTGCTGGCAATGGTTGTGCCAGAACTGGTGTTAAAATGTAGGGAAAGCTGTATTATCTTCAAGTTGATGTATTATATAGCTAGACAATCATCATTAAGCAAAAAAAGAAATTGGCCAGGAAATGTCCTTTTACTTTCTCAATAGCTATGAACAGCTGCAACTTAGACCGTTCTAGAATAATTTTGAAAACTATCTTACTGTGGCGTAAGTTGGGGAAGGATCTCTGTATGGCACTTGCATATTTACTCTGTATAAAGATTGAAGCCCAAAGATGAGTTAAATTCAGTGCTGTATTGAAACCAGTTAGTGCAAAAAAGAAAAAGTTTTATCTTTGTAAATTTTTAATTGTTAACACCAGTTGGTAGCTGTAAAAACATACACCGAATTATTTCTAATGTTCTGTGTGCTACATTGCTGTCCTTACTGCTTGGTTCTTGGTTTTAAATACAATTTAGATGTAGCCTAACATTCTTACTTCTGAAATGGTGGAGCTATAAATGGCTAACTGATAATTGACATACAATACCTCTTTTTCCTAAAGCAAACATTGAACTGAAATCCAAATTGATTTATAAAAAACAAGACTGACATTTTCCAAGTATTGTCTTTAGCTCAAATCCTAAATTGCACAGAAGCAGGAAGGGACAATGAATGGTTTCAACGGTGCTCTTAGTTCTCTGCTGATTTTCATGAGCTATCTGTGGAAATACAATATTGTATAAAATGTGGATCATTCTGTCACCCATTTAACATTGCCATTTTAATTTGGTGTTACAATTGTTTACACTTGTTTTTCAAAGGTATCCTTTCAGAGGTAAAAATGTGTTACTAGTCTACCTTCACTCAGGCCTCTCGCTATATGATCATTTTTCCAGGTTATGATGTGCAGTTTTTTAAAACTACATGTACTATTATAATGCTCTTTCTCATACTCTTGTAATGTATTCAGAACCTAAAATTACAGCAAAAGAGCCAAGCAGTAGCATTGTTGTTGGTTTTTTTTTTAATGTAAAAAAAATAGGTCCAGACTTTGTTTCCGTATTCAATCTTAAAAATAAAAAAATACCTCAGTACTGTTTTCAGTATCACCTGCATTTCTCAAAAAATAACACCTGCTTTATGTGGCACTTAACTTGTAAAAATTACATTATTTTGGATTTTAAAGAGAAGAGTATTAAATATTTTAAAATCACTATCAATGAAATTTTTCTTTTATTCAGCAATGGAGTCTACCTACATTAATGATTTCTACCTTGCAGCTTAGATCTGAGCTACCAAATTCAGTAATGTCCTGTTACAAGATTGTGGTGCCTCAGAAAGCCATGCTGTTATTCACACGTTAAGCTAATCCTAAGACTAGGTTGCCTGCATTGCCAAGTTTGGGCCATGATGGTACAAGCTGCTTTCTAACAAGGGATTATCTTTCTGTTCTCGGAAAAGATCATAATTCCTCACTTGTTCTGTTTGTATCTACTGCAGAGAATGATGGTGCAGTCTGGGGACTTAACCTGAAATTCCTTTATAGTACTTTAGTCTAATTAGCGGACATTATTTTCTACCTTTGTAAAGAGGTACCATAAAGTTTCAAAACGTGACTTTTTTGTCAGTGTGTGCTACTGCTACTTTTTGGCTGACAGCTACTTTTAGCTCTCTTACCAGTAGGGGTTAGCTGTCTTTCCCACAAAGTTACTAGTGCAGAATGGTGGCTGCATTGACACTGCAACTGCTGGGTGATTACATTATATGCAAGATTAGATTCTTTCTAAATCTCTTCAAGTTACAAATGTACTATCTACTGTGGACTTTTGTAGTAGCTCAGTCACACAAAGAACATGTGGCAGTTTCTCTAGAACTGTCCTTTGGGTTTAAAGAGGCGATCAATGGCAATGTTACTGCATATCTATACTAATAAAAGGGCAATATGCTAATTAGGACAGATGTCTTCGGACCACCATCTGGACAAAGCTACAGCGGCTGCCTGAGACTCAGGCAACCCGTGGATGGCGGCTGCCACTGCCCAGGGCCGGCCCGAGGCTCAGGCAGCCGTGTGTGTGGCTGCAAGACCCGAGGCTCAGGCAGCCATGGTGGTCGCCAATGGCAGTAGCAGTAGCAGTGGGTGATGGGGGTGGCGCCTTCCCCTGATCGGCCAGGTCGCCTCCTGCAAAAGGAGAACAGACTGTGGCTTAGGCTGGGGGCCGAGGCAGAGGCGGTTAGGGGTGATCAGGCCAGCAGGGGGACAGTTAGGGGCAATCAGGCCGGCAGGCAGGCAAGCAGTTAGGCGCCAGAAGTCCCGGATTGTGAGAGGGATGTCCATCCCAGGATTGGGCCTAAAAGACATCCCTGAGGTGTCCCAGATTGGAGAGGGTGCAGGCCAAGCTGAGGGGACCCCCGACCCCCACCCAGTGCACGAATTTTGTGCACCAGGCCTCTAGTGGTAATATAACGTCAGGCTGGGAGAAAGCAGTTATGCTGCTTGGATGGAATAGAGTTAGTAGTCAAGTTAAAAAATACTTACATAACAGTGAGGGAGCCATGATTAAGGGCTCTAGAGTTAAACTGATTTGACTTTCTAGTCTATTATGTAACCTTGGGTGAACTCCTTTTTTTAACCTTAAATTAGTACCTACCATCTCATAGAACTATGTGAGGGTTAAGTAAGTGCTTTATTTTTTTTTTAATATATTTTATTGATTTTTTACAGAGAGAAAGGGAGAGGGATAGAGAATTAGAAACATCGATGAGAGAGAAACATCGATCAGCTGCCTCCTGCACTCCCCACTGGGGATGTGTCTGCAACCAAGGTACATGCCCTTGACCAGAATCGAACCTGGGACCCTTGAGTCCGCAGGCCGACGCTTTATTCACTGAGCCAAACCGGTTAGGGCTAAGTAAGTGCTTTAGAACCATGCGTGGCCTGTTATTTTATATCAACTTTAGAAACTAATCTATAATTCCTAATACTACTTTGATAAACTAAAAAGTTATAAACTTGTATAACAAAAGGGAAACAGTACAAGCACTGGTCATACTACTTTTATTTACATTGTATCTGTTACACTGCTTATTCAATATAGAAAAAAATACGAATACACTCATTGTATTCTCCTTTAATTTGGTAATTCCACATTGTCAAATATTGACTCTCTGATATTGGGTTTCCCACCCAATTTTTTAAAAAGTAAGAATGGCCTGGCAAACAATTCTTGTCATATTATTGATATAACAATACAGTTGTCCTTTGGTATCTGAGGGGGTTGGTCCCAGGACCCCTCCCCTCAACCCAAGGACACTCAAGTCTTTTATACAAAATGGTGGAGTATTTTCATGTAACCTACTCACATTTACTTATAATCATTTCTAGATTATAGTACCTCATACAATATAAAGGCTATGTAAATGATAAACTATATTTAGGGAATAATGACAGGAAAAGTCTGTACATATTCAGTACAGACACAACCATTCATTGTAGGCCTAACAACAGAATATACATCAGCAACAATGTAACATTTTTTCAAGTATTTTTGATCAGTGGTTGGTTGAATTACTGGATATGGAACTTGTGGAAGAGCTGACTAATTAGTACACTTTTCTTGCTCTTTTTTATTTCTTCTTTAAACAACCTAATTTTGGAAAGACTTAGGATTAAATGGCTGCTTACTGGCATGGAGGAAAAATTCCAAGATAAACATCTTAAAGCACCTCAGTGATTCAGGAAAAAAAAGTATATATTCCTTATAAACTAGTCAGTGCTGAAAAAGAAACTCAAATGGTAGACCCCACTGCACAATGGTTCTGTATATACTGCCCCCCACCCCTCACCAAAAGCAAAAAAAGTCCTTAAACCAAAGACCATATTAACATGATTATCCTGGAGAAGAGAAAAATCCACACTTAGACGTCAGGTTTCTTTTAAAAATCCATGTTGCAAATAAAATCAATGATTATTTCTTTTGGACATCATAACTCATTGCTACAAAATACAGTATTTTCCATCACTTTTAGTTTCAATGTACACTATGTACATAAACACAAGAGTTACATGAATAAAGAGCTTGTTAAAAACCAGAATCAGGACTTATAAATAGTGCAGAAAATGCGAATGCCAAAAATACGATGCCTCCTATGATTGTCACTGCAAGAGAAGAGAAAAAAGTTAAATAATGCAAGATTCCTGAGGAAGCCAAAATGGTGCCCATTATTTTTCCAGTCAAGTATATTAACCTTAAAAACAAATTAGAAAGCTTAGACCAGTGGTTCCCAACCTTTTTTTGGCCATACCCCACCTAAGCATCTCTAAAATCCTGATGCCCCCTGTGACATATAATTCTTATTATTCAAAAAGTGAACTCCTATTCACATGGAGGAAGCCTAAAAGGCCATTAACTTAGTCTAAACAAGCTTCCAAAGAATATGGCATCCATGAAAGAGAAAAATAAAATAATGAAAGGACATCTGAAGTACTGAGGAAGAAATCACTAAGAAATTGTCAAAAAAAATTGAAGTGATATGAAAAAATAGCAAATAAAATTTCAAAACATAATAGAGAACGGAAAAGCATAAATATGTCACTATATATGTATATACTGTACATGAGGCCCCTAGGACCGTAAGAAATGCAAAAAATTCACTGTTAATAACTCATTCTTGAATTGCCCCCCTTAAAAGTCAAATTGCCCCCCTGTGGGCTGTGTGCACCACATTGGGAACCACTGGCTTAGACCCCATTTCCACAGCAAAGAAACACTTAACATGCCTGACTTTGAACAGTAAGAATTAGTGTCTTCTCCAGCACTGCTTTGAGAAATGATAGAATTGTATTGACAAGCAAAGTAGAATTCATCTTAAAACCCAGTTATAAAAGAGCATATCCAACAACTTCTGGCTAGCAAAGAGCCATCTTTCGGGCCTACCAAGTACGTATGAAAATTTCAACAGAATCAGTAAATACAGTCTTTACCTATGGTTCCCAATCTTGTAAGACATATTTTTAGGACCAAAAGTTCTCATATTTCCACATGATGACTGTTTTACTGCAAATTAATCTTAACAAAAAGCTACCATGAATCCAGTAATGCTTCTGGATGAATTTGTATTTTACATCTACACATGTGAAAAACAGTCCATGTTTGCAAAAGTAGGGGCAACACAATGGACCTCTTGAGAGATTTTTATTACAAAGACCAACTCTACTCCAGAAGTAAAAACATTTAAATAATTAAAATAATCTGCCCCTTTCTCTTCTGAGCTCTCTCAGTGATTCCAAGAATTAAGACATGGCATTTTCTTTGTAATTAAAAGAAAAACAAAACGTACCAGTTCTGACAGAGATTTTTTGTGCTATCATTCTTCCTCCAATTACAGCCAATCCAGTGCATAAGCAGTGTCCCACTGTCCCTCCCACAGCTACACCATAGGGGTCCTAGAAACAAAGTAACATTAATTTAAAACCAGGGTTGAAACTGCTACCTGAGAAAGTAAGCACTGAAATGGAGGTCAAAACAACTCAAAAAAGCACAAAACCATTCTAAAAATTACGATGTAGATTTATGAAACATGTAATAATAGCTGCTTGAAGGAATATGTTTCAGTTATGCTAGGACTAGAGATAAAAGAAAAAGTGTAAAATCAAAACCCTAACTCAATCTTTCAGCTGTTGTGAAACTTAATTCACAGGCATTAGTTAGCTCAGTGTTAGGGCGACTTCTCTTCCCGAAGGCAGCATCTGTTTGTGAGGAAACTTGGTAACCTTTACAGTATAGTCTGACTATGCTTCCTCAGAAGAGACCCTGCGCCCTATTCTCCACTGTGTCCTCAGGCACGGCACCCAAGTGTCTGTGACAGTTCTGTGGATAAATAATACCAATGTGATTAAAAAAGTAGGGGAAGCAATGGAGAAGGGGTTTATGGATGACAACAGGATTTAAAGTGGAGAGTGTTGCCCTGGCCGGTTTGGCTCAGTGGATAGAGCGTCGGCCTGCGGACTGAAGGGTCCCAGGTTCGATTCCGGTCAAGGGCATGTACCTTGGTTGTGGGCACATCCCCAGTGGGAGGTGTGCAGGAGGCGGCTGGCCGATGTTTCTCTCTCATCGATGTTTCTGACTCTCTATCCCTCTCCCTTCCTCTCTGTGAAAAATCAATAAAATATATTTAAAAAATAAAAATAAAAAATAAAGTGGAGAGTGTCAAGGGTCGGTTAAGTTCAGTGGTGAATAAGCTATGGGATTGAATATAAAAACGCTGGGAGAGAATGTTGGCAACACAGTGATGAGGAAAGCAAGACCGAAGGGATGACAGAGGAAGAGGCACTCAAAGGAGACTGAAAAAGATGGCCAGGCAAATAGTCTCCCAAGATGAGCAAAGTGGGATCTGTCGAGTGCTACAATGAACTCCAAGCACTATATCAACATTACCGGTGAGGCCAGAAACTAGAGTTCATTGGGTTTTGTAAGTAAGGATCCATCAGTCAAGTGCTTTGAGACTGAGGGGAAGAGAGGACGAAGGTGGTATCTGGAAGAGAAGTAGAACTGAGGAAAGGGGAAAACTTTTTTAGATGAGAAACATCTGTAGGCTAAAATGTTCAAAAATTCGGGTGGGAGAAAGGCAAAGATTTAAACTCTTAAGTGGGGACATGAGGGCTAGAATCCCAGGAGGTAAGGGACTGCCAGGGAATGGGTGGGAATGAAGTAGAATGATTTCTGCTTCTAAGTGGCAGGTGAGGCTGCTGAGGAGTAGACAGTGTATGTGCAGAAACTAATGAAATGGAGACTGTTTGAAACACCTACTGAGACCAGGAGAGTGGGACTGCATTTCCCAGTGTGTAGTACAACTTCTAAAACTGGTAAGCCAGAAGATGCTTTCATTCTATATGAAAGTGATATTTGGCCCAACTGGTGTGGCTCAGTGGTTGAGCATCAACCTATGAACCAGAAGGTCCCAGTTCAATTCCCAGTTAGGGCACATGCTCAGGTTGTGGGCTCAATCCCGTGTGGGGCGTGCAGGAGGCAGCTGATCAATGATACTCATCATTGATGTCTCTCCCTCTCGCATACTCTCTGAAATCAATAAAAATATATTCTTTAAATTATATTTGAAAAATCATTGGATTAAATTAAATAGTTCCTTTAACAAAGGATTTTTCGGTATTTGTTATTTTCTATACTCAATCTTCAAAACAAAAAACCAGGATGTATTACTGCCAAATTTAGTTGACCCTCGAACCTTCTCATTTTTTTTTCTTTTTTGCTTAGTACCCATTAACATGTCAAAGGACACTAGGATTCTGTGGAATCCAATGTGGGAACACTAAATTATGTTGGAAGCAGAAATGACGTTCAGACTAAAATGGACTGAACTAGAATGCATGGTTTATACAAAAAATTACCAAAAAAAAAAATGTTAAGGGACCAAAAACATATATCCCCATGGTGCTGGTAGTGTGGAAGGTGGCTAATATTGAGTGCTCATTGTGTTGGGGACCCTACATGCATTATATTGTTTCACAGAACCCACAAAATAGGTCGCAGGAGGTGCTGTGGAAATGGGATCACATAGCAAGAGACTCAAACCCAGTCAGCATGTGCCGATAGACCAAGGTAACTCATACAGACGGAATCCTGAGCCTTTCACAAGCCACTGTGCCACTCAGATGATAGTGTTAAGAAAAAGGCAATGATTCTGTCCTCCTGATGGCCCACCCACAAGACTGCCACCTCTACAACAAAGTGGTCACTTACTTTCAAGTCCCAGTTCTGTGATCTGAAAGCCAATAAAAGAGGCTGGATATCAAGAAAATGATAGGGCAAAGCCAATAAAGTGACATTTTAATTGTTTTAAAATATAGGAATTAAATGAAAAGCCAAATTCCATTTTTTTTTTTCCTTTCAAAATACAGCATTTTTGAAGCTCCTCTGACAAAAGGGCCCTGCCCAGCTATCTCAGTCCGGGCCTTCAACTCCTGTATCTTAACTGAAGTCTTTGTTAAGGAAGTTGTTCTTTTATGATATTTCCTAGTAGTGAAAAACATTGTAATCAAGCTAGTTATCTAAATTCTACCATCAGATAAAAATAATGTAATTTAGCTCTGCCGGCGTGACTGTGTCTGAGCGCCGACCCATGTACCAAGAGGTTGCCCATTTGATTCCATCATAGCACATGCCTGGGTTGCGGGCTTGATTCCCCAGTGGGAGCCATGCAGGAGGCAGCTGATTGATGTTTTTCTCTCATTGATGTTTCTCTCTCTCTCTCCCTCTCCCTTCATCTTTCCCTAAAATCAATAGAAACATTTTTTAAAAACACAAAAATCCCAGAAAACAATGCAATTTATCAGATAAACAATATTAGTGAAGATCAAGAAAAGCCTGAAAAGTAGCAGCAGCACATTCTGAAAATTCCACAACCTCCTCAGCTAATATCAATAAATCTGAATATTAATAGACTTCATGTAAAACTTTACTATTATCCTCAAAAGAAAGATTAAACATTTTTAAAAAACGGGTATCTTTTAAGTAAGTAGCTTTTGATAACTACTAGTATGAACAAAATATAGAAAAGGCTAGCAGACAGACCTGCCTTGGCTCTAGTCCCTGTCCCTGCTACCCACTAGTGCAGTGATTCCCAAAGTGGGCGCTACCGCCCCCTGGTAGGCGCTGCAGCGATCCAGGGGGGCGGTGATGGCCACAGGTGCATTTGGGGGCGATGAGTAACTGCTATTAAAATTTAAAAAAAATTAATTTCCAGGGGCTGAGTAATATTTTTTCTGGAAAGGGGGCGGTAGGCCAAGTAAGTTTGGGAACCACTGCACTAGTGCATGTCCTCTGACAACTCACCCATCTCTGGGTTTCAGGTGGTTCATCAATAGAGCAAAGGCTAGAAACATGATCTGAGGTCTTTTAGGGCTTATCATCCTAGGACTAAAACTTAAATTTTCTAAGTCATCTCTCCAACACTCATTTAGCACAAGGAACGGAAGAACCCAAAGATACCCACTTTTATGGTTTTAGGTATTTAATGCCAAACTGATCTTCAAAAATTTTATCAACTTATATTCTCAGCTACTATACAAAGGAAAGTTCTGAGAGAAGAAAGCCAAGCCAAGACAACTGTCACAGCATCATTCTGGCAAAACTGAAGAGTATTCAGCAAGATGAATCAAAAGAGAGCAATTAAGTTTGCACACAAGAATACCATCTCACTGACTGTAGAAACTGGGAGAAGGTCAGTTTTAACCCTTTTCGGTCCAACCTCGAGGCTAACTCGACAGACCAGGCACTAGGAGCAGGTCCAACGTCGAGCAATAAGAACATTAAAAAGTTCAACATTCAGCCCTGACTGGTTTGGATCAGTGGATAGAGCATCGGCCTGTGAACTCAAGGGTCCCAGGTTCGAATCCAGTCAAGGGCATGTACCTTGGTTGCGGGCACATCCCCAGTGGGGGGTGTGCAGGAGGCAGCTGATCGATGTTCCTCTCTCATCGATGTTTCTGACTCTCTATCCCTCTCCCTTCCTCTCTGTAAAGAATCAATAAAATATATATATATAAAAAAAGTTCAACATTCAATCCCGTCAATTAATTTGGACCAGACTGTTTGAATTCCAAAAATAACATTGGACTGCAAAGGGTTAAAGAGCAGCCGGATTACTAGCTACAATAACACTCTAGCACAGTGGTCGGCAAGCTGTGGCTCTTTGGACCCTTGGGTGTGGCTCTTCCACAAAATACCGGCTCTTCTGCATGGGCCACGAAGTTTCAATCGCACTGTACGTGTGCGTCCGCATGTGGTGTTTTGTGGAGGAGCTGCGCTCGGGGGGACCGGGGAGCCGCATGTGGCTCGCGAGCCACGGTTTGCTGACCACGGCTCTAGCATATGAAAAAACCTGACTCTGTCCAGGGTCCTCCGAAGCAAAGTAACATTAGTTATGCTCACTTACCTCTCTAGCTGCCAAAACAATGGTAGTTAGTTGAGAGCGATCGCCCCACTCTGCTAAGAATGTTAATGTAAGTGCTTGTACAAAGATGGGTGAAATAAAATGTAGCCACTTTTTCTGAGGTATCGTGCTTGTACCAGTTTCAACATCTCCTGGTCCATTTAAGAGTTTGGTTCGTTGAAACTAAATTAAAAAAAAACAACACACAAAAACCATTGAACTGAACAAAATTACTTAATCTTTCTTTAAAAAGTGTTTAAATTCTATGGATTATTCTCCAAGAAACTAAAGTTATGTGACCCCAAACTTAATTTTTGAATCACTGTCTCACATAGCGACAATACCGTATTCTCAATGCTTGCATTCCTCCCCAACAAAACTAATCAAACAGTACTTACGATCCTTTGCTAGCCTAGATACTGTGGGAAAAAGCAGTTTCTGCTTTCAGAAGTGTGTAATTAATCTAAGGGACCTGATTTCCCATGTTTAGTATTCAGCCCCACCTCCTCTCTTTACCACATTCACACTAACCCAGAGTCTCATCACACCCAGGTGTAAGAATGAAAATGAAGCAAAATAAGCTATTTTTGTGTATCCTACTAGTACACATCACACAGCTATGGATGACCACCGGAAAAACCTCTGGACAGTGTTTATTCTTAGTTGAGTGCCTTTTAGGTCCAGATATTTAACAGTGCTATGACTTACTTCTTCATCTTTTTTCTTTAATTCTGCTTGAACTTCTTCCAGTTCCTCTTGACCTTCATCTGGACTCATCTTTAAGCCTTCCCGGAGCATTCGAATGCCAAAAATGGCAAATAATGCGGTTGAAACATAGTAGGTATACACCCTGGGGATGACTGTGGTGGCATAGCCAAACAAAACTGGAAGAAAATGCCACGGTATATCTCGTTAATTAGCAAGTATCACAACCTTCAGAAACCATAATTTACTACTGTTTTAAAAGAACAGTGGTTTGCATTAGAAGCTAATCTAATGCGTAATAACCTTAAATAATTCCAATTCTTTCCCTTCACCAATATTGAACCCTGAGGTCTAGCTAATGACCTAAGATAGCTTATCAAGAAATCAGTGTTCCTTGCCCAGCCAGCGTGGCTCAGTGGTTAAGTATCAACCTATGAATCGGCTTATCAAGAAATCAGTGTTCCTTGCCCAGCCAGCGTAGCTCAGTGGTTAAGTATCAACCTATGAATTGGGAGGTCAGGGTTCAATTCCCAGTCAGGGCATATGCCTGGGGTTGTGGGCTCAATCCCCAGTAGGGGGCATACAGGAGGCGGATGATCAATGATTCTCTCATCATAGATGTTTCTATCTCTCCCTCCCCTTTCCTCTCTAAAATCAATAAAATATATTTTTTAAAAAAAAGAAAAAAAGAATCAGTGTTCCAACTGAAGATGGCACGTGTTCCACAGAACTCCTCTCTAGACATTTTTAGTACTTTAGGTAGAAGGTAAACTGTGTTGTCTTCTAAGGATCCTGAAATCTTATAACCTGGAAGCTACACCAAGTTCCCATGGAAGTGGTATTTCTTCATCTCAAATCTTTAAATTATAAACTTCTATAGTGAAAAACTGTAACAAGATTCTCATATGGTGTGATTTAAACTCTGCTCCTTTGTAACTATTTAAAATAAATCTTATGAAAGAAAATGAATTCCTTATACATTATATTAAAATAACATTTACAATAAACTCAAACTTATTCAGTAACATTCTTTTCCATTGTTAAGAGGACAATTATGTAAGTTATACAAAAAACTATACTTGGACCTACATCAACAACCCAAATACTGCCCTGGCCGGGTAGCTCAGTTGGTTGTAGAGTTGTCCCAATGTGCCAGGATTGCAGGTGTGATTCCCAATCGTGGCACATGCAGGAGTCAACCAATTAATGCATACATGGGTGGAACAGCAAGTTGATGCCCCCGCCCCTTCTCTTCCTCTCTAAAAATAATTACTCTTCCTTTATAAAATGGGTGCAACACTTATAAATCTGCCTGAACATCAAGTATACAACTACATAGGTGAACTAGTCCCTATTTCATTGTATTACAAAATTGAAAAAAAATTTAAATCATGTTTAGAAGTGTACCAAACCTATGCTGATATGCACATCTATATTTGAACTATATATGTGTAAGTACACACACACACACACACACAAATGGACATATATTTTCTAGCTCTGTCCAATAAAAGGCCAAGAAGCAAAGACATCTTAGTAACAGCCATTTTTCACCCAAATCTTGTGGGGGGGTTTTTTAACCTCTCCTCTTATGTGGCATCTCATCCCTGGGTTTGCATTCTGTGTAGCTCTGCTTCATCTCCACCTTGATAAACGCTGACTTTGGGGAAGTAACTGAAGTCATAAACATATTGGAGTTGTCTGAGAAAGGGAATGAGTTAGGCCCACTCTAGTCACAGACCTTACAAAACACCTGTGGCAGCCAGCACCTGGAGGTGGCCAGAACACGTCTGGCTGCTGTGGCTTCCCATGGCTGGTGGGGAGCAGTAGGAGCGGTTTGCTTGATGCAGGCCATGGGGATGCCTTGTCTTTTGAGAATCAAAACCAATGATAAAATAGACAAATAAAGGTCAACCTGCTTTTTATCACCATCATACACAGGCAAATTTGGACAATGTCAGTGACAAGCTCCTCTCTCTTGGGGCAGGCCTGTCCTCACTGCTGGAGATACCTTAAGATCTCACTAGAGCTGGATTGAGCAGACATGGGCTAGGTCCTAGCCCTGCTGTCAGGGCCTGCTACCCCCAGATCTTGGTTTCTAATACCATTCCCCACTAAAAGGCTCCTCAGAGAAGTGGCTAATTCCAACACTGGGCAGAGAAGATACAAGATGAGTCTGCACTATCATGTTATATAGAAAGTAAGAAGAACAGAAACAAACAATGGGAGCATGTCAGAAAGACACAGGAGCCAGCCCGGAGGGCCAAGCCGCCAAATCTGGGACAACTTAAGCAACAATATAGTGAAGTAATTATAAACCACTGGAAAAAGAAATTTGTGAGTTTATACTACAAAGACAAACCAATGGGAAAGGAGAAAGAGCTCTTTGTAAAGTAGTATGCAGGGCTCACTGGGAGTGTGGTGGGGTACTGGAGTTAGCCCATTTTGCAAGCATCAAGGGAATATTTAAATCATAAGGAGTCATCAACTGATACTAAACTGAGGGTAATAGGGTATTTGCACTGTCTTAAAATGTCTCCCTAAAGATTGCATATTAGTTGCAAAGGAAGAAAAAAAGAAATCTTAACTGAGTGAATAAAACTAACATCATAACAAGGGCCAAATAAGATGCTCTTACAGGGTCAAACCTCAGCTATGTAGAGTTCTAGTCAAGAATGCATAATCTCTTATTGGTGTTTTGGGTTTCTTAAGATATATTCCTAGAAATTGGATCACTGTGTCAAATGGCAGTTCTACTTTTAATTTTTTGAGGAGACTCCATACTGTTTTCCATAGTGGCTGCACCAGTCTGCATTCCCATCAGCAGTGTACTAGGGTTCCCTTTTCTCCACATCCTCAACAGCACTTGTCCTTTGTTGATTTGTTGATGGTAGCCATTCTGACAGGTTTGAGGTGATACCTCATTGTCAATTTAATTTGCATCTCTCTGATGATTAATGACTTTGAGCACTTTTTTCATATGACTCTTGGCCTTCAGAAAGAATATATGCACCCCTATGTTCATAGCAGCACAATTTACAATAGCCAAGATCTGGAAAGAACCCAAGTGCCCAAGAGTAGATGAGTGGATAAAAAAGCTGTGGTGCCGGCCGGCATGACTCAGTGGTTGAGTGTCAACCTATGAACCAGGAGGTCCTGGTTAGATTTACGGTCAGGGCACGTACCCAGGTTATGGACTGTCCCCAGAGTCTCTCATCATTGATGTTTCTATCTCTCTCCCTCTCCCTTCCTTTCTGAAATCAATCTATCTATTTATCTATCTATCTATCTATCTATCTATATCCTATATAATAGAGAAACATGCAAATTAACCATCCCTCTGCTACACTCAAGCCACGCCCACCAGCCAGTCAGGAGCGAGTATGCAAATTAACCCAACTAAGAAGGGGCTGTGGCCAGCCTGAAAACAGCCCTCAGCCCCTCACCCAGGCTGGCCAGGCACCTCAGCAGGACCCACCCCCCACCCTGAAGGGGCTGTGGCCAGCCTGCAAACAACCCTCAGCCCCTCACCCAGGCTGGCCACACCCCCATGGGG